CTGGATTTCGTGGGGTGGTGGAGCATTGTAGAAAAGCTCCTTTGATTGGAAGGACTGATAGCGGAATGGCTTGAGTATGTGATGACAAAGGCGTTCCGCGTTCGGGGCGTTGGTCACAGCCATCAGGTTCTCCAACTGTACGATGCCCGCGTAACGCAACTTGATGTAGGCCTCAGGATCCCGACGGGTGGTGAACCCAACTTTGGTGATTGGAGAGCCCACTGGTCTGCCAGAGTATATAAAACCCCCACGGTCGATGTCCATATCATATCTTACTAGACACGAATCCTGAAAAGACCAAGGCCGAACTTGCGCATTAGAGACATGGTACTTCCTTATACTCGAAGCGAGCTCCCCCGGGAAAGCTAAGGGACATCTCGGAGAAGACGAGTGCCGCCTTTCGTCCCGGAAGGTGACGAAGACGACTGAAGGCACGCCAGACCCTTAGGAGGATTCCTTCGCTACGCATCAAAACCCAGGATCTTTTCGAGGCGTAACGTAGACCAGGATGGAAACTGCAAACAGCACATTGACGCCGCTTTCTCCGGTGGGCGGGAATGCCACGTCCGGCCCCTCTCCTACCCCGGCAATCACGTCGCAGCCCAACGCCACCGTTCCACCCGTGGCGTCCACGCTCGTACCCGTGCCTGTTCCGGTCCCTTCGACCTCGCCCGCGACTCTCCCTCCACAACCTACCGCCCCGACCAGCCTGCCTTCGACTCCCGTGCCTACTCAGACCGCTGTCCCGTCGAGGACCGTTCAGCCCACGCTGAGCCCTCTCACTCCCGCGCCGCTCCCATTCACTCCCGCGCCGCTCGCGTCGACGCCAAGGCCGCTGGTCACGCTGGCGCCTCTCGCGCCCACGACGACCCCGCTCCCCACACCGACCGTCGAAGTACCCCGGAGTACGGCGGCAGTAATTCCTTTCCCCCCGGCCATCGCCCCGGCGAGTGGCGGCGGTGATACCGGAAAGACGATCGGGATCGTCGCAGGGGGTGTGCTGGGCGTCTTGGTCCTCCTGGTGGCGATGTTGCTGGGCCTGAAGTGTCTGATGAAGACTCGAGGGAGGCGAGAGAGCGGACTCTGGACGCAGCGTGGCCCCGCCCTCCCTCTTGCAAAGCTCGGGTTTCCGGACCTGTCTCCCCCACGACGTCAGAGCGTCCCGTCGGTGCGCTCGAAGACGGAGTTTTCTTTCGACGAACTCTCTCGAGCCACGGACGGCTTTCATGAGTCGCGCCTCTTGGGCGCCGGGGGGTTTGGCAAGGTCTACAGAGGAGAGCTGCAGAACGGGACGACGGTCGCGATAAAGTTTTCGCTCGTGCAGGGGCCCGACGAGATCGGGGAACGTGAGTTTCAGTCGGAGCTGGAGGTGGTGTCGAGGGTCCATCACAAGCACCTCGTCTCGTTCTTGGGCTACGCCTCGGAAGAAGACAAGCGTTTGCTCGTCCTCCAGTTCATGCCGAACGGCACGCTTTCCGACCGCATCCATGCACCCAAGAGCCTCGACTGGGCGGGGCGGTTGAGGGCGGCCGTGGGCGCTGCGAGGGGGCTCGCTTACCTTCACGAAGACTGCCGTCCTGCCATCATACATCGGGACATCAAGTCGTCCAATATCTTGATGGACGCGAACATGGACGCGAGGGTCGCCGATTTCGGCATCTCGAAACTGAGGGAGGACTCCTACGTGAACACGCACGTCAGCACCCGCGTGATAGGCACTTTCGGGTACTTGGATCCCGCTTATGCCAACACCGGAAGACTCACGGTGGAGTCGGACACTTACAGCTTCGGCGTGGTGCTATTGGAGATAGTGACCGGCCGGTACCCGGTCGACGGCACGAGAAGGCCGGGAGAGGAGAGCTTGGTGGCATGGTCGAGGCCGCTGATAGAAGAGGGAGGGTACTTTGGCATCATGGATCCATTTCTCATGGAGAATGGTTACGACAAGGCAGAGGTTCGGCGCATGATAAAGACCGCATGGCTGTGCACTCAGCCGTCGAGCCACGTCAGGCCGAACATGCCTCAGGTGCTCAGGTATCTCGAAGGCAACGCGCAGCCCAGCAGCCCCGTTCCCGCTAGCGCCACCGCAAGCGCCACAGCACGGACGATGCTGGATCATGAATTGTTCAGGACCGGAAGATAGGTACATTTTCTGTGTATGTATGAATCATGGATAGACAGGGCGGTCTTGGCAGCCTGGGAGAGCAGATGATCGACAGAATCCGTAAACTACACGACGGTGTATGTCTGCACCGGTATCGGCATCTTCTTTGCACTCGTCATCACTTTCATCACGTATGCGATCACGCCATCCAGAAAAGTGGACCCAGACACGCAACGCGTCAAAGGAAATATGATGATGAAGCTGACCATAACTCTGATTGTCGCGATGTTCTCACTCCTCATATGCGGTGGTCTCGGTTACCATCAAGGCAAAAAGATCAGTTTCTGCTGGGCCAATCCAAAAGCGTGTGCCGCTACGACGGGAGCGTCTATGTTGTTCGACGTCTTCGACTAGTCTACGGTTCTAATACTGCTTCATCCACGACGACGACCTCTATCGGCACCGGGGGCTTCTGCTCCGGGGTGTGGAGGCGGAGCGTCGCGACGGAGAGCGCCAGGGCGAAAAGTACCGATGCCGCCCCTCCGCACCTGAAGATCTCGTCGTTCGGGCCCCTCATCAGCTCTATGGCGTAGCACCCGCCTACCCATAGGACCCTCGAAGCATAGACCCACGGCGGAACGGCGATCTCTCCGCACATTGCGAACACCACTATGCAATCTAGTACGATGACCGACAGCCAGCTGACCGGAATATGCTCCGAGAGCATGCAGTCGAGCAGGATGAGTAGGAACGCTAGA